AATAAAATAAGTTACATTTATTTGTTATTGGCTATGGTAGGTTATTGGTTATGTTCATATACTTATTTGATTAATAAAATGTAAACCGATCTTTTTCATATGGGCGTTTTAGAGTTGTGCCCCCTAGATCAGGTCTCTAGTAATTGTGTGCTCAAAGTGCACCAGATTGAAGCATTTTACTGTAAAATGTTAAAAAAAAAATCTTCCCGGGGGGGCATACCCCAGGACCCCATAGAGGATGTGACGTCCATCCCCCAATTCAAACATGTTCATACAATAATGAATACATTGAAGCCATTTTGACGTCTATTACCTATGTCAATAACTTTCTGTTTTTGCAGTGTATTTGTCTTTTGTAGAGATTTTTCATTTATTCTTTACATATAAAATGTCGCCTAAAATCTCACCTAGGGCAGCAAATTGTCTAGAACCGGCCCTGGTGCTAGGCCTCAAGAGCCTTTCTTGTGCTGACACATAGAAACAAATTGGCGGGGCGCACTTCGCACGCGCACACACTAAAAGATTCCACGCGCTCCGCGCTCACATTATGCTGGGCCCACGTGCCTTAGCACCGCTGCTATGACTCCATCCTAGGGGAAACACTGGTCACTATACCCGAAATACGTCACTATAACCAAGAAGTAAACAATGGAAAATGAAAAATGTCCAACGAGGCGTTCTGGGGCAGCATAGACAGGTCTTTTCTGTGTTATTTTTACTCCCTACAGGGTGTACTTTGAGGGTTTGTGACTCTGCAGACCGTTTACTGTACATGCATAAAAAGCTACATAACACACAAGGGGATGGGTAATAACCAGAAAAGCATGACATGGGACCTTTAATGTGATTCTGATTCTGATAGACAACAAAATGATGCGTTTACAAATATGAAAATCCTGAATATTAGCACTAAAAGACACCCATCTGTTGAAAAGTAAATTAATATAATGTAGTAGTTAAAGTAAAGTAGATATGACAGCTCTTGAGGCAGAATTAGAATAGTTGAAGTAGATTACTGGGTGGTAGTTCACATAATGTTATGTCTACTTTCCTTTATAATCCTTTTCTATATATATTCGTTTTTTTACACATGTGCTTGCCTCTTTATTTAATAAGTCAGCCTGCTATTAACACACTAATACAGTAACCTGCAAGGGGATAAATAAACGTACCTTGCTGATTTTCACCCACAGACCATGGCTGTTGCAGAACTCCTCCCCTGTGGTCCGGATGCAGGTCCCTTTCTTTGGCTCTATGTTGTACTTGCATAGCTTCTTGATGTTTGGGGTCTGGTGTGGGCTGTCAAACACGGGCACGAGCGTCTTCCCCACCGTGGAGCCTCCTCCTGAAGTTCCTCCTGTGGATGGTCCGGAGGAAGAGGAGGATGAATCCTTGCAGATCTTGTAGCAGACCTCTCTGGGAACAAAACAAAGACACTGCGGCACTGCCTCGCTCCTCTTGAAGCACTCGATGCAGCGGTTCAGGAAGCGGATCCTGCCCAGCAGCAGGTGAGGGTTGTCGCCCACAGACATGATGAAGATGAAGATGGAGATGACAGTCAGCAGCTCAGTAGGGGGCCCACAGCTGACATTACACCACTTTCCTGATGCTTCTGTCAAAACAAAGCCAACAACACAGAATATTCTCGTTACACAGAGCATTCAGTGAACAGCAGCCGCATCCTGTAATGTAATTGGATTGTTATCTCTCTTCCACAGGAGTATAAAGGTTATATTATCCTCTGATTAGTGATCAAAGTCCGCAAACAGGGAGAAAGTCTCGGCTCCTTATAAGAGCTAACGTTAGCATGCTAGCTAGGTAAATGTATTCTGAGACGTTAACGACAGCCGTTATCAACAACAACATGTTTATTTTAGAGTTAATGAGAGAGATTTAATGACATTAAAGACAAGGTGGTATTTAAAATTAAGACTGACGTACCCTTTCTGCCGATTAATATTTATAAGTGAAACTCGTCTGTCGTTCTAATCTGACTTCTTTGGATTTCTCAACGCGGAAGAAGCGCATCAGAGACTTTTGACCCTGTGCGATTTCCGTCGTTTGTATTTCAAAATAAAAGTCTCAGCGCGGATGGTGAATCATCATGGATGTATAAAAAATGTTAGGAGGCTTTGAAAAAGGGGGGAAATAAAACGGCTGCATACAGAGCGGTTGGAGTGGACCGGAAAACAATTGCAGAGACAGTGCGAGAAGGGTCCAGCCGCAGCTGCAGCCAAACGGTGGAGGTTGAACCTGTAGGAAGTTGTACTTCCAAATTATGGTCAGAAGAGAGCGCGCCCACCACGTGAGACGTTGACGCAAGGATATTTAATGAGGGAGGTTACACGCATAGGTTAGGACCGGACCTATGGTTAGGACCACATGTGGATTTATCTTTTGGACCTGACCAAAACTGATTTTTTCTTTTGAGTAATAAATCAAAAATTCTTACTTAAATCTCAGATCTATGAAAACTAATTCTGAAGGTTTTCATGAAAATAAATAAAATATATTTTAAGAAAAAGTCAGATTTCTGAGATTTTCTTTAAAAAAAATCTGAATTTCTTTTGTAAAAGAATATTCTTTTTTTTAATCAGAATTCTGACTTTCACTAGTAAAGAACATGTTGAGGTTTGACCAAAGCTATTTTTTTCTGACTTTAATCTCAGATTTCTGTAATAAAAAAAAGGAATAAAATATATTTATTCTGAATTCTGAGATGTTCAGAAAATAAATGTTCTTAGGAAAAAGATTTATTAAAAATATTCTGAATTCTGACTTGTTTCACAATATTCTGACTAAAATCTTGAAACATAAAAAATTATATAACTTTTGTTCAGATCTCACATTTCTCCACATGTTCCTA